GTCTAATCCCTCTGTCCCCCTCATCCCCCACACCCTTCAATATCCCAACCAGTCTAATCCATCTCTCCCCTTCATTCCCCTACACACTTCAATATCCTACACTGTCTAAACCCTCTCTCCCCCTCACTCCCTCACACCCTTCAATATCCCACCCAGTCTAATCCATTCTCCTGCTCCCTACATAGTGATTGAGACAAACCCACCTGACTGTACTGCTCACGTTGCCTAATGGCTGTAGCCTGATTGCCACATGTTATATTGATGGAAGTTATTTTGAGCTCTTGGATTTGATATGTCTCTTAGAATCTGAGGAATCTTCACACTGTGTTAATTGTGTATTTTTTATTCCTGTAGGCGGGGGAGGTGTTTGCAGATAATCTTCCCTTACAGGATGACAGGACGGAAAGGGCAATTCTTCTTCCACAGTGACCGTCAGTACCCACTTCAACGTGTACTCCTCTGGTGCTTCTGTTTAGCTACAGTCATTTTCCTTTTCTCTTGACCAGGCCCTCAATATCTTGAGTCATTCAGTGTTCCCTGGTCCTGCCAGCCTTGCCCTTCACAGTAACAGGAACCTGTCCAGCCTTATTTCCCAAGAGGAGGTCAAGTTTCATCCCTTCTCTAGAAGGGTCATCCACATATTAATTGAGAAAGTTTTCTTGAACACGTTTAACAAATTTCTCCCCATCCAAGCCCTTAACACTATGGCAGTCCAAGCCTGTGTTTGGAAAGTTAAAGTCCTCTGCTATTACAGCCCTATTATTCTTACAGCTGTCTGTGATCTCACTATAGATTTGGTCCTCAATTCCTTGCTGACTACTGGGGGGCCCTTAGTACCATCCCGTCAAAGAGATCATACCCTTTATATTTCACAGTTCCACCCAGATAGTTTCATTGGACAATCCCCCACTAATTTCTCTCTAAGTACTGCTGTGATGTTTCCCTAATCAAAAACGCCAGTTCTCTTCTCTTGCCTCCCCTTCTATCCTTCCAACAGTATCTATATCCTGGAAAATTAAGCTGCCATTTCTGTCACTTCCTCAGCCATGTTTTTGTAATAGCTATGATAACCTAGTCCCATGTTCCCATCCATGCCCTGAGTTCATCTGCCTTACCTGTCAGATCTCTTGCATTGAAATAAATGTATTTCAATTCATCAGTCTTCCCTCGTTTTTCTATGGAATTGCTACTCTTGTGAAAGGTCCTAACATGTGCAAGATGAAAACGTTTGCCAACTTTGTCTTTTGTCAGCAGGCCTGAATGATTAATTATTTGTTTACTAAATGGATTAGTGGTGTCATAAGAAACTAAATTAGTACTTCAAATAACATCTAGATCAGTAACATTTTTTTTTAAAAACTGGATTGATTAATGGATGTGTATTTCTTTTAGATGATTACATTTTAACTTTAGCTGAGTAAATGAATTAGTCTTTCTGTTAAATAATTGGATTAACTCTTCCATTAAATAATTCCCATTCAATAAGTAAGAGTCAGTATTCCTTTAAATAAATCAGCTCTTATTCTTATTAGATAAATGAATGACTCTATCTAATCCCTCCCTCTCTATTACACTGCCCTATGTAAACTCTCTGTCAAAGTGTCACTCTGTCTTATGTAATATATTGTTGTGTCCAGATATGTGATAAGTATTATATGATATAGTAACATAATATGGCATTTTACTGTATTCTGTTCAGGTTGGAATAATGACCATGATGTATATGTGACAGAAACCAACTATGATGAATATGCTTTGATACACAACACCATCACAAAAGGACCAGAAGTTACAACGCTGGTAAAGCTGTATGGTAAGAGGCCTTGCTTCTGAAATCTTTCGCATTAAAGTAAAACTGAGGTCCATAAGGGAATCCAATGGCCAGTCCAAGGAATTTTTGCACTGTTCTTTCAATGCAAACCCTCTTATTTATCCTCACCAATGAGTGAAAGCTATATGTGGTCATGTGGGAAATTACATTATTTGTTGTAACTGCTGAGAAGAAGATAGAAACTGTCCAAAAGTTGGATTTAGACTTCCAAAAGGTGTTTGACAAGATACTTCACAAAAGGTTGGCATGGATAAAGAATTGGCTAATGGGCAGGAAACAGTAAGTGGGATAAGGGATACTAATGTGTAGAGCTGGATGAACACAGCAGGCCAAGCAGGATCAGAGGAGCAGGAAAGCTGATGTTTCGGGTCTGGACCCTTCTTCAGAAAGGGGATAAGGGGTTCTTTTTCAGGTTGGTTACCTATGGCCAGTGGGATTCCACAGAGCTCAATGCTGGGACCACAATTGTTTATAATATATATTAATGACGCGGAGGAAAGAAGCAAATATACTGTACCTAAATCTGCATGTGACATGAAAACAGGTGGAAAGGTAAATCGTGAGAAAGATACAAACAGTTTACAGAGACAGATATTGATGGGTTAAGAAAGTGGGCAGAATGTTGGCAAATGCAGTATAACATGGGAAAATGTGAAGTTGTTTATTTTGTAAGGGAGAACAAAAGAACAGAATATTTTTAAATGGAGAAAAACTGCAGAAAGCTGGAACACAAAGGTACTTGGGAGTATACAGGCGTGAAACACAAGTGCAACAGGGGGTCAACAAGTCTTAGTGGAATGTTGGCTCTTATTTCAAGGGGGTTGGAGTATAAGAGTAGGGAAGCCTTACTCTAACTGTACAAGGTGTTGGTGAGACCACATCCAGAGTACTGTGAGCAGGTTTTGTCCCCTTATTTAAGGAAATGTATGATTTCATTGGAGACAGTTCAGAGAATGCTCACACGGTTGATCCCTAGAATGGAAGGGTTGTCTTAGGAGCAACTGCTAAACAGGTTGTGGCTCCACCCACTGGAGTTTAGAAGAACGAGAGGTGATCTCTTTGAAACGTAAAGGGTTCTTAAAGGGCTTGACACAATAAATGCTGAGAGGATGTTCTCCTCATGGGACAGTTTGGGAGAAGAGGGCATGGCCTCAGAATAAAGTGGTGCCATTTTAAGACTGAAATGAGGATGAATTCCTTCACTCAGAGAGTCATATGCCTTTAGAACTCCTTGTCACAAAGAGCTGTTGGGGCAGAGTCCTTGTGTATATTTAAGACTGAGATAGATTCATTAGTCAGGGAATCAAGGCTTATGGGGGAAAGGGCAGGAAAGTGGACATGAGGAATGTTGGATCAGCCATGATCCTATTGAATATCAGAGCAGGCGCGAAGGACTGAATGGCCTACTACTGTTCCCATTTCTAATGGTCTTATGATCTGGTATGCCCACCAGGCTGTGCCCCTGAGTCCAGTTTAGATTGAATTTTAGATCAAAGGCAGTCTCAGATTTAGTGGATGGCACAATGAATCTTGGTAAATCCTCTCAGGTGTCACAGCCTGCCTTTTCAGTGGTGGTCTCAGGTACAAGGGGTGCAGGCTGTGCCCTCGAGCTGGGTATTTCCCAGGCCTGCTGCTGGTGAGGAATTGCTGGTGAAGATGGAGAGCAGCTGATATTGGTGTTGACACACGTCTAGAATTGTCAGTTGTTGGCTGGCTTCCTGGTCCCATTTCCACCTCCTCATCATCATAGCAATGGTCCTGGTCATACCTGGACAGCCTAACTGCCTTTTACTTCAAAGGAGTGAGGAGCTTTGTGTCTAGCATCCACTCCTCACAATATGCAAGTCCTGGCCCTTGATTCGGGCATTAATGTGCCCACATCTCCAGCAGAAAGAGAAGGAGAATGATTGGGTGAGATGGGAATGAGTTCAGGAATACTTTGTGGGGCATTTATAACATGCCAGGTGATGAGTGTGCCCACTGAATTAAGTCCGAAGTGGCGTGGGCAGAAAGGGTTTGCAATTTGAGAGGATGAGATGGATGTCAAGACTTGAGTGGATACCATGCTGAGGTTTGCAGGCTATTCCACTTTGTGAAATGCCAAGTGCAATGGTAGAGCTGATAGAGACATGCCCCCGTGAGTGTGAGGTGGTAGAGAGAATGTTATGCCACTTGTCCTATGGGGAGGTTAGGAGATTGGTCATTCAGTTGCGGCACTGCTCACTATCGTCCTGGTATGGGCCATTAGCACTGACCTGGCCTGTGATCTGCTCCCAGGCTGGGTAGGGCTGAAGGATTGATCTGCTTGTGTCAGGATACACCCCTTGCAGGTAGCTCCATTCAGCAGTATCTGCAAGTCAGTGTAAGTACACCCAGGAGCCAGGCTTGACATCTTCACAGGCCTTCCTGCGCTACCACCGGCTCTTGGCAAGTCTTGGCTAGTAGCAAGTGAATAACTGTCCAAAAGGTCTTTAAATCTGACCTTTGACCTGGAGGGTCCTGCCAGTTGTGAGACCCTCAAGCTCTCATTCCACATGTGATTCGCTGACCAATTCATGCAACATCTTACCTCCATAGACCGTGAGCTGCGAGGCACATGATGATGTGCATATGATGGTACCCAAGATGCTTGCCACCATACTTTAACCATGAAACAGAAGGGCGGCACGGTGGCTCAGTGGTTAGCATTGCTGCCTCACAGCAATTCCACCCTTGAGTGACTGTCTGTGAGGAGTTTGCACATTCTCCATGTGTCCGTGTGGGTTTCCTCCCACAGTCCAAAGATGTGCAGGTTGGGTGGATTCACCATGCTAAATTGCCCTGTAGTGTCCAGGGATGTGCAGGCGAGGTGGGTTAGTCATGGGAAATGCGGGGTTACTGAGATAGGTTGGGATGCTGTTCGGTGGGCCAATACAGACTTCCATATTATAGGGATTCTACAATGTTGGCCATTGTGTTTGTTTTCATTAAGCACTGTTTGATTTTGTACAGGCTACATTGGCAATGGTTTCGACTATGTATCTGATATAGGTTCGATGGATGACTATTGCTGCATACACATTCCATCAGCACTGGGTATTGTTTGGTAACGGGGTCAGGCTACAGCTGCGGTATCAATTTCAGGGATACTGATTATTGCTGGAGTAACAATAAATGATTAGCTTACACGTTACACTTACAAAGTGGTATAGCATTGAGTTTCACATTGATTACATTGTCAGAACATTAAGGGATGGTCTTGATGTTCTTCACTGTTTCAGGTAGAGATCAAGAATTGAGACCGGAGCTCTTGGAGAAGTTCAGACAGTATAGTCTGGCACATGGACTGGAGGAACAGAACATTGTAACTTTCGCTAAGCAAGGTAACTATTATCGTGTATAAAAGAAAAGCAATGAACACTTCTGACCATCTGCAGTCAGATAGATGCTGGGGAGGGAGTCACACTCTCACACAATCAAGAGAATGGGAATGGGTGGAGGCAGGAATACACTTGCTACTGTGGTACTTGAGTTCAATACTGACTTTTAGTCTCTCAAGAGAGTAGATGAGTCCCATTCCATCCACTTTGCCTGTTCTGGCTGTACAGAAAAATAATTCAATTCGTCCCACTCCCTTTCTCTCAGTCCAGTGAACTCGTCTATTTTAACAAATTTTGCCAAATTTCCTTATGAAAATCAATCTTGAATTTTCTTCCACATCGTAATGACTCATCCTGTTGAAAAAAACTTACCTCCCACAATTGTCTTACCAACTTTACAAAAAATTATTTTTGGTTTCATTGCACTTTTTAAACATTTGAGACAAATGTTTTAGATATGATAGAAAGGATTGATTGGAATTTCACAATTTGCCTTGCTCCTTGATCACAATTCGGTCAATTAATCCTGTGGGAACACAACAGTTGGAACAAGACTCCTTCCTGGTAATCCTGGATTATGGACTGAAGTCATTGGTGTGGGGTTTGACTCAGAGAGGCAGGGAAATATTAACTGGGGCATAAGTGATGGCTGCACTGGTGTACAAGGTCAGAAATCAAACAAACACCAAGTTATCTTCCAACAGGTTTATTTGAAAACACAAGCTTTTGGAGTCTTACCATTTCTTCAGGTGTTAGTCTAACACCTGAAGAAGGAATAAGACTCTGAAAGCTTTTGTTTTCAAATAAACTAGTTGGACCATGACTTGGTGTCATGTGATTTCTGGCCTTGTCCACACCAGTCCAACATCGGTACCTCTACATCTTGCACTGGTGTAGATGCAGATGGGGTTTGAGATTCAGCAGCAGTTTAAATAACTGAGGTATGAAAATTAACCTTTTCTTCTTATTGATCTCTTTTCAGATGAGTGCAAACCGGTCCCTGTTGAGGTTAGTCTTTGAGCACTACCTCTGTTTTTTGACAAGGTTTGGGGTTATTGACTGTTCATTGCTCTCGTCCTGGGAAAGTTCAATGGGATTGCTGGTGATAATTTGGATCAAGGCCCCAGTAGTGAGACATTGGACCAAGCCAACACTGCCCTGACTGTCTGAGTGTCTAGTATTGGACACAGACAGGTGTTTGATAACTGACAGTCATCAGGGTCAATCATGGCATTAGAGCAGGAAGCATTACAGTACTCAGCTTGGTATGGTAGCCTGAAGTGGACCAATTTCAGATCTGCTTTGGTGAATAACATGGTTTTAACTAGTTTAAATATGCTGGTACTCATAAAAGCCTGACTTTTGTCATGCTGTTCTTACCACTCAAGGTGTTTAAATAATCCTGTGGAGAGAGAGTAACCATTTAATGATTACATTTGAAAGTTCCTGAAAACTCAACAAAGGAAAATCTAAACTCCCTCCTCCAAAAGACAAGTGGCCTGGGGATCAATCGGAGGTTTCAAGATTGAGATCAACAGATTCTATTTTGAGGGGTGATGGGGACAAAGGAATCAAGGATTACTGAGCAGAGCTAGGGAATTGGAGGTTTGCGACTGGGCAAGTAATGCGGACATTGAGCTAATTACAATTTTGAATCTTTCTGCAGGACTGAACAGCCAGGTTTCTGCTAAAGTAAATATGCAGGGAAGGAATAGTCGCATTACCAATCTGCTCCACGCCTTTGATCACACACACATTGTAGACTGCAGTTACACAGCCAGCTACTAATAAAATCACCTTAATCACCACTGTCTCTGCCTGAGTCCTTGCTGAGGTCCTATTGATGAATCGTGTGCAGGAGGTCATGTGCTTGGCTCAGAGTAGTTTCGAAGAAGTGATAAAGCATTGACAGCACACAGGTCCCACTGAGGTAGGGGAAGGAATCTGTAAATAACAAAGGTCACGGTCAATATTTACCATAATCCACAGAGCTGTTTGGCTTTATTTGCGCCCAGTTTGTGTCCCTGCTGCACTCCAAAATCTTCCATCTCTTCGAGGGCAGAATGACACACAGCTTGTCTCTGCCAAGTCACCTCTCCTGACATGTGAGAATGGATGGTGAATTTGGGGAACACTGTGTACCTGTTGGTCAGTCTCATGGGAAAACGGCTTGTGGTGAGACTGTTGCATACGCTGCATGGACCAGGCCAGCAGTTTCAGGCTGGAAATACACCGACTTTTACTTTTATAAAACACCTTGGTTGTGTGGCTTTTAAACTGTAACTAATCATTCACTGCTATAATAAGGCAGGAATCCATTCTTGATGACAGTCAGAGTGGACAGGCAGGTATCAAAGTTTGCTGACAACATGGCTAAGTTTCACAGTAATTAATGTCACTGGGATCAGAAGGTTGCAAAGGGACCACGATGGATTGAGTGAGTGGCTCTGACTGTGGAGACAGAGTTCAATGTGAGAAAGTGGGAGCTCATCCATTTTGGTGGCAAGGAAGGGAATTTTATCAGTGGGGGAGAAGCTCAGAACTGTGGGCGAGCAGAGATTTATTGGTCTGAGTGGAGAAATAACTAAAAACAAGTGAGCAGGTACAAACCAGAGTTAGAATGGTGAATGGAAGTTAGCTTCATCTCCATCGGGCTGGAATACAAAAACTGAAAGTTGTGTTCCAGTCGTACAGAGCTCTGCTCCAACCTACAGCTGGAGAGGCAGTGTACAGTCCTACACCGACCACCTTCGGCAGGGTGGAAGGTCAATTCACTAGAATGACATCGGGACTAAAATATTAAATGATCGGCCTGGGTGATGTAGACTAATTTTATATTCCTTCAAGTTGAGAAGATTGAGATGTGATCAAATTGAAGTTATGATCGTGATTAAAGATTTGATAGGGTCGAGAGAGATAAACTATTTCTCCGGTGGCATTGTCCAGCAAAGAGGGAGCATGGCTTAAAGTTCTGCTCAGGGCTGATGCCAGAAAGTACTCTGTCACACAAAAGAGACAGGAATCCTGGAACCCTCTTCCCCCCAAAAAAGTCCTGGTGAGGCTGCAGATCAACTGAAAAGATCAAAAGTGAGACTGGTAAATTTTTGTTACATAAGGGATAGGGAAATATGCAAGTAGATAATGTTAAGATATAGATAAACCATGATCTAATTGAATGTTTGAGGGGTAGAATGGCCTTTTCTTGGTCCTAACACTGAAAGAGGTCATTTGGGGCAATCAGTCAGTGGGTGTTCAGTCTCCAAAACCAAAGGGCAGGGTTTCAGTGGGAGAGTCGGGCAAGAGGGAGGGGACATCCTCTCTCACTCACTCACTCACTTGGGTTTTCATTCATCAGCCAATCGTCATAGAATCACACACTTCAGAAAAGGCCCTTTGGCTCATCATATCTGTACCACCAAAAATATGCTACTACCTACACTTTCCCACACTAGGCTTATTGCTTTGAATGTTATGACACTTCAAGTGCTCATTCAAGTACTTTTGATTTGTTCTGATTTAATTTGGTTTAATTTATTATTCACTTACTTTTTAAATGTTGTGAGGTTTCGCCCTCCCAGGCAATGCTTTCCATACTCCCACCACCCTCGGGAGGGGAAATAGATTTTCCTCAAATCTCTTCTAAACCTCCTGCATTTCACTGTAAAATTATGCCCCCTTTTTAATGATCCTTCGAATAAGGGGAACAACTGCTTTCTATTCATCCTGTCTATGCCTTTTGTAATCTTATACACCTCTATCAGGTCGCCCCCTCCCCCAACACCCCCCCACCATGCCCCACCCCGCCCCCCCAACGTTCCTTGCTCCAAAGAAAACAACCCGAGCTCATCCAGCCTCTTCATCACAGAAATGCTCCATCCCAGGCAACATCCTGATGAATCTCTTCTGTACCCGCTTCAGTACAATCACATCCTTCCTCTAGTGTGGTGACCAGAACTGCACACAGTACTCCAGCTCCAGCCTAACCAAAGTTCCATACAGCTCCAACATGACCTCCCTGCCCTTATAATCTATGGCACAACTGATGAAGGCAAGTGTCCTGTACAACATCCTAATTGCCTTAATAACCTGTCCTGCCACCTCCAGGATCTGTAGACCAAACAGCCTAGTTCCTTCCGTTCATCTGAACATTCCTACTGGAATATCCTTCCATTCATTGAATAGAATAGAATTAGCTTTAATGTTACATGCACTCAAATGAATACAGTGAAAAGTTTACATGTCGCCACTTACAGCACCATTTAGATACAAAAGTACCCAGATACAACCTCTTCAGTTAGAAGATCTTAGAAAACTAGGGAAATAAAAAGTCCAGATTGCAGAAATAAAAAGTCCAGATTGCAGAAATAAAAAGTCAGAACAATAGTTTTCCAAGCCAGACCACACAGGCACCTAGCCTCCAGTCTGCACTGGGCCTTGGTTTCTGACTGCACCAGGTTTCACCTCAGAATTCATGAGGCTGGGAGATCGCTCTGGAATCACCTTGAGACTGAGAGCCCATGAGGCTGTGCCGGGCTGAGAGACCACCAGAAGACTACCATACTGGGCTGGGTGGTCACCACAAAGGGCCGCTACACTGGTCCTTTGTCTTGTTCCTTCTTCCAAAGTGCATCACTTCACATTTAGAGCCATAGAGTCATCGAGCTGTACAGCACGGAAACAGACTTTTCAGTCCAACTTGTCCATGCCGACCAAATAGTCTAAATTAATCTTGCCCCATTTGCCAGAATTTGGCCACATATCCCTCCAAGCCCTTCCTATTCATATTCCCATCCAAATGCCTTTTAAATGCCATGATTGTTTTAGCCTCCACCTCTCCCATTGGCAGCTCATTCCATACTCGCATCACCCTCTGTGTGAAAAGGTTGCCACTTACGTCCCTTTTAAATCTTTCCCTTGCCACATTAAACCTATGCTCTCTAGTTTTGGACTCCATTACCCTGGGGGAAAGACCTTGACTATTTACCCTATCCATGCCCCTCGTGATTTTATGAACTTCTATAAGGTCACCCCTCAGCCTCCAATGCTCCAGGGAAAATAGCCCCAGCCTATTCAGCCTCTCCCTATAGCTCAAACCCTCCAACCCCGGCAACATCCTTGTAAATCTTTTCTGAACCCTTTCAAGTTTCACCACGTCCTTCCATAGGAGGGAGATCAGAACTGACCTCAGTGTTGCAAAAGTGTGGAACCTTTTGGAATTACCATTGTCCTGTACAGCCGCAACATGATCTCCCAACTCCCATACTCAATGCACTGACCAATAAGGGCAAGCGTACCAAATGCCTCCTTCATGTTCCTGTCTACTTGTAACTTCACATTTATCAGGATTAAATTCCATCTGCCACTGATCTATCCATCTGTACAGATCTTGTAACCTAAGACTTTCCTCCTCACTGTCAAAAACCCAACCAAGCTTTGTGTCATTCGCAAACTTACTTATCCATCAATCCCATATTCTCATCTACATTTATGAATATCACAAACAATAAGGGACCTAGCACTACCCTCTGTGGTACCCCACTGCACACCAGGCTCCAGTCACACAAACAGCCTTCCATCACCACCCTCTGTCTCCTGCCACTAAGCTATTTTTGGTTCGATCTTGCTATATTTACCCTGGATCCCCTGAGCTTTTACCTTGTCTATCAATTTCCCAAGCGGCACCTTGTCAAAGGCCTTGCTGAAATCCATATAAACTATATCAACTTCCCTGTCCTCATCCAAACACTTGGTCACCTCATTGAAAAATTCCATCAGATTTATTCAGCAATATCTCACACTGACAAAGCCGAAGACATTTTAAAAATGTTTTCATGGGGTGAGAGTGCTATTGTCATGCTTACCTTATTGTCTTGACCTATGACCATTTGCTAAAAGGGAATGACCAGTGAGTGGATTGTGGAAATGCTATTTCAGATTGGGCCTGAAAAAATCATCACCCAGTATCTGCCCATGGAATTTTCATCAGACGTGACTGGTCACTTCTCAGGAGTGGGATCCTGGGCTCCCTTATTTTCATCTCCCTAACCCAGGGCCACTAGAGTTAGTTATAGATCCCCAGGCAGTGCCTGCCTGTGATCAGAGAATGTACCACAGAGCAGCAACAGGTGGAAGAGTGTACGGTTCAAATTCATTTCAAGATGAGCAAGAAAATAATTGATATTGCTCCCAAAACAAATTCAGAATTTCAATGCTTTAGTTTTGGATGTTGAAATCTTTCCTGCAACTCTTTATCTTTCTATGAATCATTAACCCACATAAACAAAACAGAAAGGTTAATGACTGCCCTTTGTAGCCTTGGACAGAGCAGCTGTTTGCTTTGCAAAGTGGTTTTGTTGAGCACAAGGACATGTCTGGTTAACAACACAAAGACCTTTGACATCAACAGGTCGTAGGCAGTTCTATCAAATACTGGAACAAGATTTTCAGTTGCACTTTTAACTCATTGCCAGGTAGACCCTGGGGGATGGAGGGGGCTGGTTCTTCACCAGACAAAGCCAGGTAGCAGGCTGAGGGGTCTTGGTCAGCCATTGCCAACACTGAGGAGTGTTAAACAAGAGAGAAAATCAACATCATAAACTCACACACAACTCAATCACCGGCAGGTTGAAGGAGATACCCCATGCTCATCAGAAACTCTGCACCACCAGAAGGTGAAGAAATCTAAACATCACATCTGAAATACAAAAACACCATTTATAAACTCTGTGCTCATTGAAGTAGACTGTTGCAATTTCAGAATTTGATGATTTCCTAGTTACAGCATTAATGTTCATTGCTGTAAGTG